GAGGCGCCAGGCGCACATTGGGGAGATGTTCCTGCTGTCTAAAAGATACTAAAGTGCGTACTTTAAGAAAAAAGCCCTCGCGTCTACTTTCCGGCACAACCCTCGGAGAGCCAATCACCGCGACAGCTCAGCGAATGACGGTGCCGAAACATATGTTGAGACCACAAAACGCAGTCCGAGTTGTGAAATTTACCAATTTAAGCGTGATGTTTACTATTGCTTAATTTCATAACTCAGACTGCGTTTTTCGGTCTGAAAATATGTTTCGACATCGTAATTCGCTGAGCTGCCTCCGTAAGTTACGGTGAATGGCTCTCGGAGTGTTGTGCGGGAAAGCAGACGCAAGGACTTTGTTTAGAGTGTAACGTCACCTTTACGCTTATAGTTCGGTGGAAATTGTGGACGTTTTTCTCGGCGAATCTAACGTATCTGCGGTTTTACATATCAACCTTTTTTTTTTTATTAATTTGTCATACCCCGCGGTTGCGGAAAGGGGAGCGTATTCCAAAGATGTAATCTAATGAACGATGCGTGGGGACTCGCCCCCATTTCCGAAGGTACGCGTACGACCCCGACTGTTTCTCGAGGCCGAGCCCGTATCGGGAGAAATCCGGTGGGGAGTTGGTTAAACAGGGTCCAATTCCCCCGTCGTCGTTGCCCGTATTGCGTGGCCCAGTTATCCGTTGCTTATTAACTACCTCCGAGTCGCGCACCTCCGGGCCCTGCTCCTTCTTGGCGTCCCTGACCCCATCCGAAATTGCGCTTCTAGGGTCCGGCGCAAACACCGGCGGCCCCCGGCGAGAGCTCCACTGCCGGCCTGACCCATTTCCACGGGCCCTGGCTCGTGCCTCGGGTCGGCGATACTGCTCGGCCGTCGTCTTGAGTTGGACCCGCAGCCGGACCGAAATGTTTAAACGCCCCCATTTTGTTTGTTTTTGTTTCGAGGTTTTTTGTCGGCTGGTCATCTTTGTAGGTATGCTACGGGAAATCTCTGTGATGGTTAGTTGCAGAAGGCATGGACAAGCACTCCCGTAAAATTTGAAAGAAAAGTTGACAAAACAACAACGACAACAAAAAAGGTTTGCATTTTACGGTGACAGCCGTCATTTGCCAGGTTTCGCCGCTAATCTTCGGGTGCGTTTCGTGTAGGATCATATGGCTTTACCATGTTTAGAGGCAGAACTTTCTGCCCTCCATTTAGCGAATAAATGTTTCCTTAAATTGAGTGGGAAATATTTCAGACAAAGTTTAGCGAGAAAAAACAATATCCGGGCTAAGTTTAGGCGGGAAAATATCACGGGTAAATCTAGGGGGAAAATGCTTCCTGCATTTATTCGTCAGATTTATCTCGAATCTGCACGAATGCACAAATGTAGGTAGTCAATCTGCAGTGTTCGCCGCAGTTTGATTTCACGGTACGATAAGAAACTGTAAACTTAAAATAAAATAATAATTTTTCTGCGCTTTCGATTTCAAAGAAGTATACAGGTAGTTAAATAGTGTTTTCAAAGAGATGTTTGAGAAAGGTGTGATTTTCACAACCAAACATTGTTTTAAAGGGATTTACTAGCTGCCTGCATGTTAGGCATTCTACGTGAGAAATATTCAAATCGCGTAATGTCTAAAAAAATAAAACAATTATTTTTATTTGACTACGGAGGTCAGGTTTTCTTTGGAAACGAGAATTGTTGGATTTCATGGGAAGGGATTTTACAAGAAAGGCTAAATTAGGAATGAGGGAACTCTGTGGTTCGGTTTATGAGAAGAAAGACTTGTTTTTCAACTCCCAATTTAACGTCAACAAAACTTTTCGAAATTAATCGGCTCATATTAAAAAAAAAACAAAAAAACAAATCTGTGCAGTTTGGAATTTGGGGAAAAACAAGAGGTAATATGCTATTATAGAAATGCGTAATTGAAGACGTATAAATAATTTTATCAAATGTTTTTTTAGCGCTGACTGGACTGCAAACCCGAGATGGGTCGTCTTTCCACGGTGGACCATGCAAATGCTTCTCTTTTCAAATCCACAAGTACGTGTTTGCTGTTCCTTAAAATGGTGCCAGAAGTACTATTTTTATAATCTTCACCTCAAGAAAAGCTCTTTCTGCAGGGCGCCACCCCTGCATAGTGTAAATAAAAACAAACAAAAAAACAAAAAAAAAATAAACAAGGGGGGCAACACAAAAGCTTTTTATGTTTCAAAAGTAGCGCAATGTGTCTTGATGCACGAGAAGATCATGGCGGAACAGCGCAGACTGAGCTAGATTTCAGACGCCATGTTCTTCCCAGAAGTGGCGCGAGGCACGTGTCTCGAGCATTTCCACAATGAATGGCGGCACTTTTCCCAGGATAGAGGGGTTTTAGGCAACACCATTCAGGATAAAGAAAAGAAGAGAAAACACAAAAGCAAACGGATTCACATACGAACTAGTAGAAGAGGAGGACAATTTATTAAAATAGTTGGTAGTCCAGCGATCGGTTGTCTTTTCTGTTTCTCCTTCCTTCATCGTTCAGCTAGTTCCACCCGTCATGTTAGAGACCCCAGGCTAGCGGTTGTACCGCACTGGCTAAAATGCTCATCTACAGTTGAGAGACAAGTTGCCCGTCGAGGCAGACTAAGTTTTTAGGTGTATAAACATGCACACACCCCAATTTTGTTTTTATAAAAGCTCCCAGTCCTACAATATTTGACGCTACGATTCTCCTGCGTTCCGATACAGTAAGTGTGTCTCGAACGCTGGCCGTTGGCGAAACACCAGACGCCGCCATCCTGTCATCGCGCACCCCAATGACGTGCCCCTGGCGCACCCCAGCATGGTGGAAACGTTACACGGCGCCAGCATTGCTCAAAATGGGAGCGCACAGGAGCCTTTCTTGCAAACGTGTATACCCATCTGGGTTTCGAAACCTGACGCGACCTGGCGGCGGAAATGTGGAAAAGAGGAAAAGTAGTTCAAATGTATACGAAGGTGGTTACAAATGGAAGCGTTACGCACGCCCCTTGTATCGCCAAGCGGTCGCGCTCTTAGTTCGTGTAATCGCTAGGGTTTTTTGATTACGCTGAATGGAAAAGAGATTAATAAAAGCACGCGTACGCGCAAATAAATAGACCCTTTTTATGGCAAACGCCACCATCAGTGTTCCAATCTTTGACGTCCCAGAGAACTTCCGGTTCATAAAAAGAATGAACAAAGCCCATCCTAACACCGCTGCTTGAAATGTCAATGAAACGTTTTACAACCAATTCTCTAGTTGAATGCCAAAAGAACGAGGGAGCGCGAGATTTGTTAAAATTTTTTGGAATATTCTTGCAAGCCGACTCGCCTCCTCCAAGTCGTTAGATTGTCCAGTCGACGGCCCTCGTTAAATCTCCAACTTTGATGTACGTGTAGCATGTATGCTTTCTGGCACTGGTGGCATAAGCAAGCTCAACAGGCTTGCAAAGACGGTACGACCGGAAGTCGCTTGGGACGCAAGCGGAAGTTCATGCTTGTAAACAAGAAAAGGGTCTATACGACACTCGATGTCAATAGCCCGCTCACGAGCCGACACGCACGTTTCCATGCCGAAGCTTCTTTACTTCCTCTATTACATGAACTCTGGCCATAGGCTGGCCTAAAATAGAGAATGAAGCAATATTGGGTTCAAATTTTACTCAGTATATGAATACAAAGCGAGAGAAAGGTGGAGGCCGGAGGTGCGTGGATGCCCGAGCACCGAGCTCTCGTTGGAATGGTTAGTGCCAAGACGCGAAGCTACAACTGCCTTCGTGTTCCTACTCGGTCTTATAGCCGTGCGACACGGGCAACTCGAATGCCATTCACAACGAATTACATTTGAACGATTGGCTAATCAGCGCGCGAAACTCCGAGCATGGAGCGTTCCATGGGCGACAGATCGCGAGCCGATTCGTCGATCACACGAATGTCATTCGTTGTAAATGGCATTCGAGTTGCCCGTGTGGCACGGGTATTAGAACGCCTTAGAACCTTGAATAGAGAGGCAGCGCTCTCTCCTCCTTCTCTCCCTCCGTGTCTAGCCGTATACTGTAAGAGCGTGATATTCGAGAGGACCAAATCTTCGCGGCATTTGAGACTTCTAAATATCGCGAAATATTGATTACGGGAATTTATCGTGCCGTGGTATAACAAATACATAGCACATCACTTGAACTCACGAATGTTTTGCGCACGCGAAATACTCCCGACACCTAGACTTTGCAACGATTCGGGGAATGGTGAGCCGGCCAAAAATAAATTGTCGTTTACAGTATTCACGGCTCCAGCAAAACGAACAGCAGCTAGCGGGGAAACGCCGAACTGGCCGGAACAGGTCCTTTCCCGATTTCTGCTCGCCTCTTATGGCTTTCGTGATTACACGTTGTCGGGGTTTTGCACAATAGAACAGTTTTTCCGGTGACTCTGTTGTAACCGTAGTATGAGCTGGTAACCCAGGTTGGCTCTAAACGCAACCTACGTAACCGCGTGAACAAGATGGTTCGCATTTACCAGCCTTCATCAGCAACGTGGAAGGAGAGCAGTCCTTTCATCGCTTCCTCGGAGAAGTTAAGCCTCTGGAAGCTCGTTTACGTTGACACATCGCAGCAAGTTCGAAACGTGGAGAATAAAAATCGGGGCAAGCCATTTTGAGTGCAATGCTTGCTTGCTGATGACCCAGCGTCGTCCGTTGAACTGGCACATGGCACGGCACGACCTGTTTTAGACCGCCATATTTGCCCGATAGTGGCATCCCCTGTAGAGCCCTTTCGAAAGTGCACCCTCTGCTTGTTATGTACACTTAATTACACTGAAGCTATGTACATATATACAGGTCAGGTTCGGGACAGTACATGATGGACTGGCGGTTCGATCAGCGGTCCGAACTGCACGAGCACGAGCACTCACAAACCTTGTCACTCGTCGTCTTCTTCCATTGACGCGAAGGTACGCTCGCATTCGCGCCTAGCAGGCGCATATCTTACACTCCTCCCTACTAGACTAAGGCACATAGTCGTTAAGATAAGTAGGGCGGCGCGTTGCTCTTTGAGGTCTCGAAGAGTTGCTAGGGGAAACTGTTGTAGAACCAGCTGGTTGGACTGCTGGTGTGGCATCGGACCTAACGTCCGCTTCTTCGGAGACCGCTTCAGGTAGAGCAGTTAAACTCAAGTCAACTGAAGAGTTATCTTCCGAGTTTCCTGCAGAAGTTGTCGCTGGCCTCCTGCGCAACTGGTCAACATGGCGACGCCAAGATCGTCCATCTTCTGTTTCAATCCTATAGGATAGTGGACCGGTCACGGCTGTGACTACTCCAGGGGTCCACTTGGCACCGGACAAGTAATTTCTTGCATAAACGTTTTCACCTACTGTAAATAGTCGTGCCTTCTTCCCTTCCTGGAGAAACTTGTCCTCTTGTTTCCATGATGAATGGAACTGAGAATCTGGATGCAGGCGATCTAATGCTGTTTTCAGGCGTCGGTTCATCAATAGTTCCGCAGGACTCCTGCCCGTTGAGGAATGTGGCAGTGTATGTTGACGGAACAAAAATCGCGCCAAATCGACGTTTACGTCGCCTGAATTTATGTGAGTGAGTGCCTCCTTGGTTTCTCTCACCATTCGTTCGGCCTGGCCATTCGATGAAGGGTGGTAAGGTGCCACTGCCACGTGTCGAATCTGGTTGCGGCTTGTAAATTCCTTGAATTCGGCCGAAACGAAGGCTGTGCCATTATCACTGACAATGACATCTGGCACTCCGTGTTCGGCAAACAGCATCCTCAGTTTCTGTACGACGGCTGAGGAAGACATAGAATTCATAATACATACATCGAGCCATTTCGAGAATGAATCGACCACGATCAGAAAGATCTTTCCCTTGAAAGGTCCTGCAAAGTCAACGTGTAGACGTGACCAGGGATGTTGCGTCGTCTCCCAGGGATGCACTGGTGCCCGTGGCATTGATGGTCTGTGTTCTTGGCATGTGGAGCAATTTGCAGCCTTTTCTTCAATGTCATGGTCGATGCCAGGCCACCAGACTGTACTCCTCGCTAGTGCCTTCATCCTTACAATGCCTGGATGGGCTGTGTGTAAGATGTCGAGTACAGTGGATTGTGCCACTTTGGGAATAACAAGCCGGCTTCCCCAAATGATGCATCCCTTATAAGTTGATAGTTCATCTTTCCTAGTGGTATAGGGTTTGAACTGTTCGTGTTGCTTGTCATCTGGCCACCCATGCATGATCCAGCGCTGGACTCGCGCAAGCACGGAATCTTTTCTCGTGGATGCTGCAATTTTTTCGGAGTTCCAAGGCTGTTCTGGAGCGGTCTCTAGCATCCATACGTCTGCGACTGGAATGTCGTCCAGCTCTGTTGCAGGTATAGGCAGTCGACTGAGTGCATCAACGTTTCCTATCTTGCTTCCCGGACGGTACTGCAGATCGTAGTGGTATGCGGCTAGCATTAGACTCCACCTGAGAACTCTTGGTGACACCATAGCTGGAATTTCCTTGTGCGGACTCAGCAATCCTAGCAGAGGCTTATGATCGGTGATTATGGTCACCGGGCGGCCATAGATGTACTGGTGAAACTTTTTGACACCATATATGATCGCCAGGGCCTCACGATCAGTTTGCGAGTAATTTCGCTCAGCTTTGCTTAGGGTTCTGGACCCGTAAGCTATTGGTGACTCTTGCCCAGAGTCGGCCACGTGACTCAAGACAGCTCCAAGACCGTAAGGCGAAGCATCGCAGGTCAATAATAAAGGCTTGCTGGTATCGTAGTGAGCCAGAACTGCCGTTGATTTGAGCAGTTCTTTCGCCTTGCGATAAGCCTCAGCTTCGAGAACGGTCCATGTCCAGCTCGCCCCCTTATCCAGCAGTCTGTACAACGGCTCCAAGGTGTGAGCAGCTCCCTTGAGGAAACGATGGTAGAAGTTAAGCAAGCCCAGGAATGACTGTAGTTCCTGTTTGTTCTTGGGCTCTGGAGCTTCATGAATGGCCTTGACCTTGTCTTCAGTTGGTCGCACCCCGTCCTTGTCAATCCTGAATCCCAAAAACACGACTTGCATGGTGTTGAACGTACATTTTGCCTTGTTAAGGCGTAAACCGTCTTCCTTGAATCGCTGCAGCACAGCTCGCAGGCGTCTATCGTGCTGTTCTTTGGATTCTCCGCCGATAAGTATGTCATCTAAAAAAATTAGTACTCCTTCAATTCCGGCAAGTAACTCCTCCATATAACGCTGGAAGATCGCTACGGCGACGGATACTCCAAATGGAAGACGGTTAACCTTGAAAAGTCCCTTGTGCGTCGTGATGGTGAAAAGCTTTGCCGACTCATCATCGACGGTCAACTGCTGGTAGGCCTGTGCAAGGTCAAGCTGTGTAAAGCGACGGCAACCCGCTAAGTTGCTCAGGAGTTGCTCTGGCGTGGGCAATGGGTAAGATTCCCACTTCACTGCCTTGTTTACGGTACTTTTATAGTCACCGCAAATCCGCAATTCACCACTCTTTTTCAGGATTGGAACTATCGGTGTAGCCCAATTTGAGTGTTTTACAGGTTCAAGGATTCCCTGCTGGACCAACTTTTCTAGTTCTTGCTCCACTTTCGGACGCATCGCATAGGGAACTTGCCTTGACTTGCAGAACTTAGGTGCAGCAGATCTGTCGACCTCCACACGGATGGGTGGTCCCCGACTCTTTCCCAGGCCAGCGTCGAAGATTTCCTTGAACTCCTCCAGGAATCCGCTACCCTCCTGGGTGTTCCTGAGTTGATGGACACCTGTGAGGCCGATTCCTAGATGCTTGAACCAGTTTCGTCCAAGAAGGCTTGCGTACTCTCCCTTGACCACCAGAAGTGGCAGAGTTGCCGACCTTTCTTTGTGTTTAACCTCCACGAGTACTCTTCCTAGGACGATAACAGGCTCCTTCGTATATGTGCGTAGCGCAACCGTAGATGGTTTCAGCCTCTGATTTGGAATATGAAGTCGTGCCATTGTTCTCCTGCTTATGACAGAGAACATGCATCCTGAGTCAACCTCCATCGCTGTTGGCTGTCCGTCGATGTCGACGTCTACGAGGATAGCAGGTTCGTTGGACGAGAGGTTGTACAGCTCGTACATCTTGGTGGTATCGCCGTCTAAAAGATCAGCTTGCGCCGTCCCCCGTCTTGCTCTTGGAGGACTTTTCTTAGCCTTCTTTTGAAGACAGGCTTTGACAATATGTCCTTTGCGGCCACAGAACAGGCATGTGGCGTTCTTGAAGTGGCAATCCTGAGGAGAGTGTGCCCCGTTGCATCGATAGCACACGGAAGTCGCTTGCTTGGTTTCAGGCTTCGCATGATGTTGTGCAGGCGGTGACGGTCCAGGTCCATCTTTAGCCACGCTGTGGATTTGGCTGACGTCCTTAGGCGTAGTCCTAATCTCCATGGCATTGTTCTTCGCACATTCCGCTGCTATTGCCAACTTCTCCGCTTGAGCCAACGTAAGCTCGGCTTCGCTCAGCAGACGTCGTTGCAAGGCCTCATCTTTAACTCCACAGACAATCTGGTCGCGCAAACTGCTGTCGAGGGCGTCTCCAAAGTTGCAGGTAACTGCAATACGGCGTAAGTCCGCGATGAACGCAGCCATGGGTTCGTCGCTGTGCTGTGCCCGCTTATGAAACTTAAAGCGTTCCACGATCTCCGAGGGCTTTGGTGCAAAGTGATTTCCCAACTTCTTAATGATGTCAGCGTAGTCCGTCTCTGAAGGTGTCGTTGGCGCGCAGAGGGAATGCAGTATTGCATAGGTCTCGGCTCCGCAAACGCTGCAGAACACGGCTCGCTTCATCTTGGGTGTAGCGATCCCATGGGCTTCAAAGTGGAATTCCAGCCGTTGAAGGTATAATGGCCATGTCTCCGGCTTACCTGCCTGGAAAGCTTCAAATGTCAGCGATGTCCTTTCAACCATGATGAGTTGCCGGAGTCTCGCCCGCTTTTTTCGATTTCCTCGTCGCCAAATTTGTTATGTACATTTAATTACACTGAAGCTATGTACATATATACAGGTCAGGTTCGGGACAGTACATGATGGACTGGCGGTTCGATCAGCGGTCCGAACTGCACGAGCACGAGCACTCACAAACCTTGTCACTCGTCGTCTTCTTCCATTGACGCGAAGGTATGCTCGCATTCGCGCCTAGCAGGCGCATATCTTACACTGCTGGAAACTAAAATCCCTGCACAATGGCGGATACAAGTGCGAGCTTCTTCGTTTCGAATGAGCTCCGACTCAGAAGTCCTCGTGCAGCGGGAGCAGAAGTTAAATCTAGCCGTTCAGCGGTGTCGGTTGTTCCATCTTTGTGCAGTGGATTGGACTTTTATCAATCGGCACGTGACTTCCGAATTGGGTATATAGTTCACTGGAGTCGGGAATATTGGGTAGTAGAACATGAAACTTGCACATGTGGGTGAAAATCCCGAAACACGATTTTTCTTGTGAACGCAAAGGGGAATAATTTTTTTTTTCTGTTGGCAAAAGCTTGCTGACTTTATCATGGTTGTATACACGTAGATGGAATCACTACTGCCCGTATACTTGAGGTTTATTAGGCCTGGAACGGAACGATCGGTAGAAAGGCTAGCGCCATCGGTCGCTCGTGGGGCCCGAGTCCAGCTCAGAGGTCACGCGCTCTCGCCCAAACATCGCTCTTCTATTATTATACTCTGTTCACCCTTAGAGCGGCCCTGCAATCATATTTAACCGTCTACATTTTTTTTTTTTGCGGTTTCCTCGTTTCTTGGGGTTCTGGCAAGCCAGCGGGCACGGAGAGAGTAACTAAATATCAGTGCATCCTGTTTTATTCGGACGACGTGGAAACTTCCTCCACCTACGGGGGCGACCAGCGGTGCCGAAAGCGCGCGATATGTGAAGTCTTTGGTCCTGGGCTTACTACTGGTCAGAGCCGCGAAAAGCTTATTTTTAGTCGAAATACAAAATATAAGTGGCGCGAACCGTTTCAAATATTTATAAAAGTGTTTTTTTCTCAGTATTTTAGATCTGTAAATAAACAAATACAGTTTCTAAAGTACGGAAACAAGAAATGACCCGTCGACATACCCGCCACCAAGCGGTGGAAAAGGCGGCGCATACTAGAAAGGTGTAGTGGGATCAGGCAACGAGCGGCGAGCCTAGAAAGGTCCCAGATGTACGCGACGGCGCTGCGGTCGTATACGGGCTCGAGGATCCGACCGGTTCCGAGGGGTCAGATCCACTGTCGAGACTGTGACTGCTCAGTGCTGCTGAGTAACTGCGCTGTGCTTGGCAAGCACCACAACCAACTCACAAGAGAAATTATCGAGGCAGAGAACATTGCGAAACATAATGGCAGATGTGTTAGTACTCTGTCTTTAACGTTGTCGCAAAAGGAGTTAAACTACCTAGCCTTGTATTAATTTCAATTTAGCTTGCTTTAAATTTAGCTCCATATTGAAAGAAAAGAAAAAAAAGACCAGTTATTTTCCCTGGCCCTAGCCTATAGTACAAATAGAAGAAGAAAAGAGTGTGTAAATATATCGAGAAAAAAAATTGGGTTGTGTGTGTGTTTATACAGCCTAGAACTTGGTCTGCCTCACAGGGGCGACGAGTCTCCCAGCTGTAGATGAGCAATTTAGGCAGTGCGGTACAGCCGTTAGCCTGGGGCCTTTAACGTGCATCACGCAGTAGTGATACACGACCGCACGCCGGTACGATGCTCATCCAGATCGAAACGGGCAGGGGTGGGGCTCGAACAATATACCGAGAGTTGTCAGACAGCGCTGCGTGTCTCTTTCTTTTATGTGTATGTTGACTGGAGTGACTGTCTTCCGGGTGCGCTGTTCCCCCTGTGCATCATGAGCACACCGTGATCATGAGCAACCAACTCGCCCGAACCTCTGTGTTAACGGCTCCGAGCATTCCGAAGGCCTTCGGCGAGAAGGTTTGGCTTGCGGTTTGGCCGTTTGGCGGTATGACAGAGCGAAGTGGCTCCCGTTCCGAACTGATCTTTACCCCGTGTTTGCTGTCGTTTGTGGCCAATGAAGTGTCATGCCGAATTAGTGTATAATCGCGCAGCAAATGCAGTACGAGCCACCCTGGCTGCGCGCTTCCTACAGCCTATCCAGAACATGGTTTAGTGGCGCCCTGTCGAGCCGTCGACATGGAGTGCGGCAGCCGTGAGCGCTCGCTGAGCTCACTATCCTTCCTCTAGTTCACGGCCACTCAAGAGACAGGAGACGTCATGAAGGAAGTTAATTTTTGTTTGTTCTTGTAACATTAATTTCCCTATAACTTTTAAAATAAAGCGAAATTTGAGAAAAGAAAAGTTTTATTAAGTTACTACTTTCAGTGCGCCGAGATTCGGTGCATACCAAAACCAGTGACAAATTCCTTGCAGGAACCCTTTAAGCTGAGGCTGCAGTCAAAGCTACGAGCGCGAGCTGGCCCGCTCTTCTGCTTGCTTTGAGAAGTGCATTTCTAGCGCGAGGGCTCGTTCTGCAGAAGAACGCCTCAAAGCAGGGATCTCGAGCTCTCGTGCTTGTGATATTGCCTGTAGTCTCAACTTAAAGGAACACTGGAACTTCCCAAAAATGTTTTTTTTTATTAGGCGATTTATTATGGTGCCGGAAGACTACCCAATTAACAGTTTCCTAAGTCAGGTATGTTTTTAATAACGCCTGTTGTGACAGAGCATCAAAGAAAAGATGTCCACCGAATGCGGGTGCGCGGGGCTAAAATGCAACAAGAGCGTGACGGTGATATAAAAAATAGTCTTGGCCCGAGCTTCGTCGTGTTCGGTTCTTTTCCTTGCTTCGCCACTACACGCCAAAACATGCAACTGCTCGAGACCGAAACCTCCGAGACCGAGACCTTCGCACGGAGGTTGGAGAAATATAGAGGATGAGAGTGAGCCGGAAGTCACGTAACTACACCCAACCGTGCGCTTTTTTTTCTTGTTTTTCCGCTTGCTGCAGACGAAATGCGTCGCGGGAACCGTTCGCTGTGCGATTCTTTTGCAGTTATGTTTATGCCGCTCGCTGTTCTGTACTTCAAGATGAGTTGTTTTGTACATTGAGGAGTTGGGAGATGAGTAGTGAGTGCCCGTGGTGAATTCCCGTGATCGGCTTCGAAAAGAATACACCCAAGATGTTGCGTGAAGAGCTGGCTCTTATGTCCTGCATCTAAAAGTGGCATTGTGCGGCAGAGTCTGCACAAGTTTCCAGAAGATCACCGGGATCGGGACCAATGGCTGGCTGCAATTCCTGTAGAACCTGTAGAACCTCCTCAGAAAGCGGACACTATTCGATTTATGTGCTCCTTGCATTTTGTGGAGAGTGGCTACATTGAGTTCGCAGGCGTCAAAAAGGGAATCCCATTCCATTTAGTTCAGCGACGTATCGTCCACAACATTTGTTTTTTTTCAGTGATGATTGTAAAAAAGACATGTAAATTTCGCAAAGTGTTATGCAAAAAAAAAAAAAAAAGAAAAAAAGAACACACACACACATAAAAAACAAAACTCTATCGAATCTGGGTGCTGCGTGTGAAGCGAACATCTTAACACTGAGCTACTGGGGAAACTGTCGGGGTAATGCAGCCGGTGTACTGTAGGTCGGAAAGTGTGCTGCCGATTTCCCTCTAGCAAAGGCACTCCCGGCCCAACGTCTGGCAGCATCACGCGTTGACCATATTCGCACCTAGTAAAAGAAATCGTACGCGCGCATGTTTTACTCGAATTAGGCACTTCGTGCTTGAAGTTTCACGAGCGATGTCTTCAACCACGAGAAGCGGCAATGGCTCGGCGACAACTTCGCGGAAATCGGCTTGGTGGTCGGGCGTGTCGAGCGAAATGAATGCCAATTCTTTTGATCGGTCCAAAATTTCTGTTTCGAAGGAAGACAGATTCGCCGGTACCACGAACGACTGTTCTGAAGTAGAGGTCCCACGTCTGTTGAACGCTGCCATCGCCGTCCAGCTCGCAAGACCCACGATACGCAATACGACGTCATGTTGAGAATTACGCAGGGAACGTTCTCTGTGCAGCTTTTTTTTCTCGATCAACGTATTTGTAGCTTTTTGGAAGCCACAAAAAACATGGGTTTCGTTTTTTTTTTATTTTTAATATTGAGTGTGTGCTTTCAATGACCTATGACTTTGAGTAAATTTTGTGGTTGTGTTAAACCTTAGATAACGACCCGTGACCACGGAGAAGTGAGTGAGCGCGACTCAAGCCGGCCAGTTCTCGATCGGCGGTTTCCGGGCGGAAAGAAACCGAATTTCGAGCCGCGAATTCTGTTGTGGGTAGTTGGGCTCTCACATGCCACGTACAACTAAAAAGCTTGGCGAGCATTAATGCCCTGTCAGTGTCCCTTTAAGGACGAGAGCTGCGCTGGACCATAGCCTCCTATGTACTG